TGAAGAATAGGTAATAATACACGCTCGCATATTTTGTGTGTGTCTAGCCATTTTTCACTAAATTGAAATAAAGCCGAGAATAGTTGACTGTGGGGAACAGAGCAGATGCTAATCTAAAGAAGCAATATCTTTGGATCTCAGCAGGTGCGTAAAACATTCCGGTTCACTCTTTGTGAATATTTTTCAGGATATTTTCACCGTTGGGTCAGGCATTATTCTTCGCCAATTTTCCGATTCTGTTCACATTATATTAAATATTCACTAGCATAACTTATAACAAATAACAACGTTGTTCAGTGTTGTGAAAACTTTAATGTAAATATCTAAGGTAAGGATCAGTATTGAGTATCTTCTGAAAATATTGAGACCAATTCCAAAAGCTCCTGACCAATGAAAGTCGGCAAAATATTTCTTTATTGATTACGGGTTAATCTATTTAACAGGCCTTGAAACGAAAAAAATATTTATGTTTTCAAAAAGTTTCGGTATCTCCGGAAATTTTACTATCGATAGTTGTTGTTCAGTTCTTTTCGAACTAGAACTTTTCCCTAGCAATTCTTCCAGTCAAGGTTTTACACAACTTTTATTTAAAAAAAAAAAATATATATATATATATATATATATATATATATATATATATATATATATATATATATTATATATATATATATATATATATATATATATATATATATTTAAAAGTTCTATTGGTTTATCTGAAAATCCGATCTAAAAAATTACTATTATTCATAGTTTCTCAAATAAACGACACATTAGAATCTTGTGTAATTCATTTAAGACAAATTATAACTCTAATTTAGACCCAATTGTTGTTTATTTTTCATTTAACTGAATTTTATTCAAGAAATTTAATAAACACAAGTTAAACCTCAAACTTTATTACAAAAAAGTTCCGTAGAACTTTTATGTTAAAATTTTTTTTTCATAAAAGTTTTCATAGAAAATGTTAAAATGGAACTTTTAAAAAAGTTCCATAAAATTTTCTGTCTATGCTTTTCAAATTACTGTGTTAATGATCCACATGCCCACTAGTTTGGTCAATATAAATTTATTATTCTTCAAATGTAATGAAAAATAGATATTGTTCTGATGAAGGGGTAAATGTTAACACGATTTTTTAATTAAAAAGTAGTTTATTAATTAATTTAATTTAATCTTGAAATCCCCGCCTCTTTGAAACAAGACGATGTTTTAAAGATCGTAATGGAATGACCTCTGACATTGGTATCCAATCTAAAAGAAATACGCCCATTGTTCTCAAGATAAGACGCATAGTGAGCTGATTTAGCAGAAAAGTAGGGATAAAGTCAATAAAGATATTAATATGAAAATAATTAAAGTGAAGAAATAATCGATCTCATCTGTCTCTGAAACGTCCTTTTAAAATGAAAATACAATTGTTTTTTGGATTAAATGTATATGAAAAAATTATAAAACTTTTAATTTAAGTAAACAAATGATTAAATTATTAAATAATAAACAAGTTAAACAAAACAAAATGATTGATGATATAATTTTACCTGATTATATTGTATTATCATTATATATTCCTGATTGTAATAAACTCTAGTTCAATGGCTTGTATTCTGTTAGTTCAAGCAAAGAAATAAAACAAAAATAATGAATAAAAAATGTTTTAACAGACTGTTATGTAATTATTCTGTCCCATTGTATTTTATATATGGGTTTGTATAATAATATAAATCCTTAGGAAAAAATATATCAGTAAACATTATTTTTATTGTTAATTTTCATTAACAAATTTTCAGTTTATTATTTCAACTATTGTTTGCCAAAAGTCCTCAATTTTCATGAATTTCAATTTGATTACAAATTAGAGTATATTTATTTATTTTTAATTAATAAAAACCATGATTGGAAAAAAAAGTGTTTAAATAAGTTGTTTTATTTCAATGTTTTTTATGAAATTGTTAATTGAATTTTATTGCTCTTGTGAAAGATTTTAGTAGAGCATAACGATATCATTTTTATCATAATATGACATAACAGAAAGTCATAATATTTTATTTTTTTTAATACAACAGAACTATTATATTTTATATTATATTTATTTAACTATATCTATATAATTTTTATTTATTTAGTCTACAAAAAAATAGTTTATTTGAAATATTCTTAGTTGAGAGTATTTGCAACTGATTTGATTATAATATTGAAGTATTTACTGGCTAAGCCAATTTTTAAATAAACGAATTATGTATAACATCTTCACATCTGTTTCTTGGTTATGTCTTATCTACTTCTTTAGATCTTCAAATTCAAAAAGTGGTTTTATCGGATGCAATCACAGGCTCCAGCCGAAATTGGACCGGGCCAAACCTGTTTAACATAAACTTAAGTCCCTATTTCCGAGGAGGCTGCTTCTGTGTTAGACTTTAAGAAGGTTCTTCGGCAACCGTTTTGTACAAGATTGGTAAAACTTGTCGGGCGCAAAGCGTCTTTTTATTGCATTCGGTACCCCCAATATTATCTCATGAGACTTTAAAATTGCTGCTGGAAGGTAAACAGAATAAAAAAGATTTACATCAATGATGGTCATATCCCAAATTATTCTTGTTACGTTGACCAACACTAATTAGCGTTTGATGAACTTCGAATATATATATATATATATATATATATATATATATATATATATATATATATATATATATATATATATATATATATATATATATATATATATATATATATATATATATATATATATAATTATATATATATATAATTAAGTGACCTTATTCCCTTATTATTGGGAATAAGGTCACTTAATTTGAATAAGCTTATAAATGTTCTTGGTGCTATCTACAATGTGTGGTGGAAACATATTGTATTTTCTACATTTTAGAAGAAATACCCTCTGTGGTTCCAAATGTGACAGCTTTTTTATTAATTTCGAATACTCTTTTGCTGTTTTACTAATATCATTCCCGTTTTTATATTTTATCTCCTGAAAGATGCCCATGTTTTTTTTTTATATCAATTGAAGGTCGATTAAGGAAAAGTTGTAAAGATATAGAATTAAGGGAGAAATTATTGTTTGCTAGAATTACGACTGACTTATCGGTTGGTTTCAGTTTTTGTTTTCTTGTTAATATTTTAAAGATTTAATTGATATAAAAAAAGAAACAATTCACAAGATATGCAAAAACGAGTTTGAAACGATTTTTCACGGGACAAATTCTTACTATTTTAACAGAAAATAATGATCATCTTGCTTCAGGTATCTGGTTAGAAGTAGAAATTTTTCATTATTAAGTTAGTAATAAAAATAAAATACTCTTTTTGAAATGCCTCCTAACTTTGAATTGGGTTTAATCAAAATATTTAATGTGGATTTTACTGAATATCGTACAGCAAGTCTTATTGATATTTAATTATTTAAGTTGTACGGTAAGCACGGTGTCAGATTTTGTTTTACAGTAAAATCGTTTATCTATTTATATCCATAATACAAAATAATGTTTTTTGAGTCACAAATAGTGATGGGCAAAACCATAATAACGAATTTGATTACAGTAATTCTGTTTACGATAACAGTGGATTTGATTACACGATTACAATTGTAATCAAGTTTTCGATTACATTTATAATTAAGCAGGTGTCACATTTTGCCTATGGTTATAGTGCTATTGTACTAAGTGTAAAATTGGCCTATTCCAATTTTAATCATTATTGATTCATTCCGATTTTGCCCATTTCTGACCACAAAAATATGCTTCTATGTGTTTAAATTGTTTCTTGTCGGCTAAGGTACCATCGCGGACTACTATCGCAATGAACCTGCTGAGCATTCGTATCTTACATTGCGTGTTTTTTTTTTTTTTTTTTATAAATATTTAAAAGACATATATATGTAAAAAGTTACATATTTTAATCTAATATTTTTGTTTTTCAAAATAAAACTCCAGATTTGTTTATTATATGTTTATAATTTCTTAAATTTAGTGCGATAGGAGTAATTTCTTCAAAAATGGTTTGATAATAACCCTAATACGGTAATAAAAATAAATAAAAATAGTGGCAGTCTCTACTTCATGTTTAATCTTTCCTCGTTTTAAATTCTCATTAACTATCCAAGTGAAAGGTTGGGATAAGATCAGAACTGTTTAGAAGTTCAAATCTTTATTACCAACTTGGACTATTCAATTTTTATTGTTTACAATCTTTTAAAATGTAAAATTTTTATTAAAAACCAAAATTTTAGCTTACAAAACTATACAAAATATATAGACAACCTAGTTCTTAACAAAAAAAAAAAAAAAAATGCTTCCTTTAACTATTATCTCAGATAAAGGGGTTGTTTATGACACAATTACATTAAATATTTCTAAGAATAACGGAGAAACAGTGTTTGTTTTTCACAATTGCAATAAAACATACAAATATTGTTTTATTTGTGCCGTGCGTTCCCCCCAAAATTGTTTTTTTTTTTTTTTTGTCCTCTTCCTCGCCTTACGGGGGTTTCCCGGGCTGTAGGGGGTGAGGGCGGGAGACCAATGCTAGATAGCCCCCTTTAGCACTGGGTTACGAACTCAGTATTATTTCATCACACTATTTTATATCCGGGTTGCCAGTCAACGCATGTTGCTGTGCACACCAATTAGCGAGCTCGGCACCTAACCTGTGAGGGTTAAAGTTTTAATCTTAAAAGAGTTAAATCTCGACCTCCGACCTGTGTTTAGAATGGTGTGGTTACCGGTTTGATAACACTCCTACTCTTCTTCCCCGCACCATAATCTAGAAATGGCCAGTTAGTGGGTAAACATTAACTTAAGTAAAAGTAAGATATTGAGAATTATGAGAAAGCTAAGGGATATTTATTTTCAGCTTCTTTCAGCTGTGATATATCACTAAGGTCTTTCCTTATGGTATTTAACTGAGTGATGAATTCTTCTTATGTAAGAGACACCTAAATTCTCAAGAACTGCGTAACGTCCGGCGCAGTCCAGAACTTTATGGCACTGGTGACATCACAACGATGCTCCGCCGGTAGCCTTTGGGAGAAAGCTGGGACAGTATGTCGAAAATCTAATATTCAGGTCGATGTATAAAAACCACACCTCGGAGGTTGATGGTATTAGTCTTCTGCCTTACCATGGAGAGTCATCTTGTAAGTATCATCCGTTGACAGTTTAACATGTTGTCCCTTATCGTAAGTGCTTGTAGGGTTTTTTTTTTTTTTTTTTTTTTATCGACAAGAGTAATAAATTTGCAAGTGCTTCTGGTTAATACCATTTTCTTTTACTTATGACATTTGATATGAATGACTTTCTTAACAAATTTGATTAGAGGTATCATCTTGAAGTAGTCAATTTAATCCAGAAAAGACAACTTTGTTATTTCATTAATTTTCGCTCGGAATGAGATCTCGAATGGGTAATGGCTACCGTGTGTGTAATAAAATAATATATGATGATATATAATTGAAACAATTTAATATATTAGTTCCTTTTGTTTGTAATAAAATTTGAGTTTTTTTTTTTTTTTAAGCAAGAACTATCTTAAAGTTTTCAAACAAAAATATTACAATAATTATACATAAATTATATTTCTCTTGAATAAACAATACTTCATAAGGTCCCTGTTAATCTTAGATTGCATTAAGCGTTGTCCGATAGTAAATAAATTTAAATTTTTACAGAAAATTTATTGATATTTATTGAAGTTATTATGATATTAATGTTCTTATATTTATGTATTCGGTATTTTAAAATTCATCGTTATAAAAAAAAGTAATAATAAAACAATTTGCACGCTCGAAATACTTATCCTTATAATATTATATATATAACATGTATAGGTAAGTAAATGTAAAAATATTAATTTTGTTATGTTCTCGCTGACATCGCGTGGCTTGTTCCGTTTAAAAGAAAATGCATTCATTTTAAACATTGAAGTATTAGATTGATCATTCCGATTTTTATTTTTTTGAAATACTAATGATAAAGTATTTTGAGATAACTTGTCCCATTTTGTCACTTAAATGGGATACATAATGTGGTCACACATTTCCAGTTATTTTCAAAATTCAAACTTTTGTTCTCAGGCTAAGTTACAACCGCGGCCAAAAAGTTTCAAATTCGAGTGAGATCAATTTAATAATGATTGATTAGATGAATAAATATGGTTATTTTAAATTCTTGAGGCCAACCGTATGTCTCCGGGAACAATCATTTCTGCTAATTTGTTCAAGTATTCGCCCAGTTTTACCCTATTGATACTATTAAATACAATAGCTTGATTACGTTATCGAATATTTACTAATTTTTTAAAAGTTGTGTTTGTAAACGTCCTACATTATTTTTCTGGTAACATTCGTTCGAGCACAAGTACTTAGACTTTGTGTATTCATTGTTCTCGTTATAAATAACCAGTTTTTTGAGCAACTGTGACAATGCCTTGACTATTGAACACATTCTTGGAAAATTTCGGACTTATATTTATCAAGAATTTCGCTGTCTCTGGATCTAAAAAGAAACTTTTCCGGTTCCTGAAGAAAAACAATCTATTATAAAATAATGTAACTAGAACACAGAGCCCTATGTTATTGTACATGGCATCTTAAATTGTTATCAGATTAATAAACGTTCTTTCAGTTATTAGCCTCATATATTACTTACATTGTAACATTTATTTAATTTTTGAATTTTGTATTACAGCTTACATCTATCCTTTTTGCTCTGCTCGGAGCCAACTGTGTGATTGGCCAGATTTTCTCTGGTCCAATCCAAACGGTCGCCACTCCATCTTACGCAGTTCCAACGAGAGTGGCAGTCGCCCACGCACCGGCAGTGTTCGCTCCGACGCCTGTCGCTATAGCACGCCCTCCAGTCGCCGCTGTAGCTGCTCCGACCTACGACACATACGATCCTAATCCGTCCTACTCCTTCTCCTACGCCGTCAACGATCCAGTCACTGGAGACAACCATGGTCACACCGAATCCCGAAATGGTGACGTTGTCCAGGGAAGGTATTTCCTCGTCGAACCGGACGGTTCTCTCAGAACCGTCGAGTATACCGCCGATCCTGTTAACGGATTCAATGCTAACGTACACAAGGATACAGCCGGCGCACATCCTGTAGCTGCACCTGTAGCCGTAGCCCGACCACCTGTTGCCGTCGCTGCTACACCGATTGCAGTCGCTCGTCCACCATTCGCAGTAGCACGTCCACCGTTCGCTGTCGCTGCAACACCGATCTCTGTCGCTCGTCCACCGTTTGCGATTGCCCAGGCTCCAGTGGCCACAATAGCTCAACCGACTCTTGCTATTTCTAGGCCTTATGTTGTAGGTTGAGATCATAGAATTTTGTCTTATTCTTCAAAATAGGCTTAAATTAATTATGAGTACAAATTTATATTTTAAGTATTAATTTTTTTAATAAATATTTTAATGAAAATAATATGTTAAATTTTCCTATTATTGCCATGTCATGACCTTTGTGAAGATATGGGATCACGAATTAGGAAAATATATATATTATTCCTTAAAACGATTCTATTTTTCCCCATATTCTACTTTGTGATTCCATCCTTTTCATCCTTTCTTTTTTGTTTTGAACTCAATACACAATAAGTTGTTTCATGGAGATGTATCTCTTGTCAATAATCCTGTAACTGAAATTTTTTTATTATTGGAATTTACAACTGTATTAAAATAAAAATACATTTAGGAAATATGATTCGAGGAGATGTAACGACTTGAAAAAATAATACTTCCAGAGGAACTAGTCATTGGTAGTATTCTGAAGTAATATAAATTTGACTTTTAAGTACGTAATATTTCCTGCTAAATTAAAAATATTTACAATTGAAAATTCAGTAATTTTATATAAGATCCTTTTCTTTCATAGTTAAGAATTATTTATAAATAATTAATATTTGTAATAAATGACTTTCACAATGGATCGTATTTTTAAACTTTACGGTTTTTCTTCATAGTATTTATTTTATTCATGTTTGTTCTGATGATGACTGAAATATTTAATAATTATTTCTTTTTTTGTTTATTTTATAAGTCTAATATTTAGTCTGATTTAATTTTAGCTTCAGCAGTTAAAGTTTAACAGTTTCAATTTTTTGTCACTGACGCTACATTTAACCATAATGAAAACGCTTCATTTTTCATGCATATTAGAAACATAATATTTCATAATATATGTATTTATCAGAACTAATATAGACGAGCAATGAATAAATTAAACAAAATCATAAAAATCTGAGACGTGGAGTTTTATTTTAGTTTTTAGCTGGGTGGTTTGAAATAGAATAACCCCTTTCCTCAACTAGCAAGCTGTTTGCACTTAATTCTTCAACAGTCTTATGTTTATCTAGCCTTTTCTCATTTTCTTTATCAAACATTTTCTGTAATATTTCCGTATAATTGTGATTTTATATTGTTTGGAATGTAATATTATTGTAGCAGAGTAAATTCAAAGCATCCTCTAATTAGCCAGGTAAACATATACGGTAAACTTGTAGAGGAGCAAATAAACATTCCAGTATTTAGTGAGATAACAAGCATGCTATTGAGGGACCTAGGGAAATTAGCACGTTTTGGGCTGAACACGAACATTCTAGAGCTCAAAAATAAAATTGTTTTGTATTCTATTATAAACTGGTAGTATTATTATTGTGGTACGAATATGACCACTGTGACCCATGTGACAGTTGAAGAAAATTACACATATTTCAATATAGATACTTCAAATTGGTCCAAATAGAGTACTTACACTGTTCAATGGAAGGATTCATAATTTACTTTAAAAATCATGAAAATAGTTTCGAAAAGTTTCCAAAACATAGTTGATAAAATTAAATCTTTGCTGGGTAGGTCACCAGATTGCTTGCACATAGAATTTCTAGACTTAAAGTGATAAAATCGTTCCGAGGATGTTCTGCATCCCAAGGCTATATGAGGGGCCGTGGTGGCTGAGCATGTTGAAGCGGACAAAATTCGATTCTGGAATTTCGTTCTCCATTCTTTAGTCTAGTGATACAGGTATGCATCCGGAGTGGGCGGTTAAAAAATGTATTAGTTATAATGGATGAAGTTGCACTCTATAATTTTTTATAAGTTGCACTTCGAAAAAAAAAAAAAGCCGCCTCCCCTCAATGTCAGAAATGGCAAGGTAGAAGGGATAGGAATAAAAAAGACTAATACTAATGATGTGTGTGTGTGTGCTGTGTGAGCAAGTATGTGTATGAGTGTGTGTGGACATGTATGAGTGTGTGTGGACATGTATGAGTGTATGTATATATATATATATATATATATATATATATATATATATATATATATATATATATATATATATATATATATATATATATATATATATTTTCCTTTTGCACATAAATTATATTTAGTTTTCTTGCACCTTTAATGATTGTAGCATAATTTTTTTCATTTATATCTTATGTAGGTTTTTATGAGATTTTTCCTACTGTAAAAAATTAATTTCAAATTTGCTAAGTAGTATTCAAACCACTGTTATGTCAAGTGTAAGGTTACTACAACCATAAACTTGTAACTTATCTGTATGACATGTTGTAATATATATAAAAAAAAACTAATACTAATATGGTTGAATACTAATACTCGTGGCTGGGTATACAAGTGATGCCTGTAAATTATGTAGAAATGATTGACTGAAAGGCAATGCTAACAGTGTTAGAAGAAGCTAAGACTCGCCCATGACCCTTTAGGGTAGAGGCGAGAAAAAGAAAAAAAAAATTGAGTTAATACTAATAAGTAAAATGTGTAATTAAAATAAAACTCTCGAAAGGGCTATCTCATTTGAATATGTGTTGTATTGATCCTTTGTAAAGCTGAAAGCCGCTTCCCTTTTCGCCATATCTTGAAAGGTTAGATGACTCTTACCTGATAGAAGTTATCTATCTAAACTACTACACGTATCGGTTCGGTTGAAAAGGTCATCTAATCTTGAGCTAATGGCATGTAATTGTCATAACGAGTCTCTTATGAAGTAATATCAAATTATCATCAATTCAGTTCTATTTTCGTTTGTTAACCGACTTCAGAAAAGGTTCTATTTAATTAATTTAAATTTACATCATTTCTATTTTTACTAGATAATCTTGAACCGACTTGTATGATTACTTTATTAAAACGGTATAGAGAAATTCGAAATATGTATGTTATATTGTTATTCCTTCAACAGAATTAGTGTTGCCCAAATGCGTGACCCAGACGAATCTTGGTCTTGCAAACTCAGTTTGGTCATGGTCTTGGTCTTGCACAGGAGTCTCGCAACAGTCTTACAGTACTGTATTTTGTAGATAGGAGAAACCTAACTAAGCCTGAATGAAAAATTAGAGGAATTAAATGCAAAACTATATTGGTTATACCAATTATTTACATATAGTAACTAAGATTGTCGAGTATTAGTAACTATTTTGCCTTAATTTTTTATTAAAAACATCGATTTTTTTTACCAGTCCCTGGTCTTGGTCTTGTAACAGTTAGGCGGCCTTGGTCTTGGTCTTGCAAAGTGCAAGACCAACACCGATTTTGGGCAACACTAAACAGAATGTGGTTCCTTACAGAAGATAAAACATACACTCCCGTTAGATTTAATGATTTAGTTTACACTGTATATTTCTATAACGATATTTGACGATTTCTTGAATGTACAGAACAGCTCTATAGTATCATAAGTTCGTTCTTAACAAACGGAAGCCTGTTAGTACTAGTTCAAGATGAACACTACCGCACTGTTCATGTCACCTCCGGTGTGCCACATAGGATGGTTTTATCGCGTCTACTGTTTTCCATTTATATGTTTCTAAGTGGAAACCTCAATGAAGTTGGATATATAAGTAAAGACAGGCTAAAAATATCTCTTAAGCATACCACGGCGTTAAAACATTACAATTTATAAAACCAATGTATTTTTAAAAGGTGCGCCATTATTTTCTCTCATCCCCAATTCATAAAATAGTTTACAATCGTTCCTAAATGATATGAAAGATTATATAAGTGGCTAGAAATGATTTAAAAATATTACTTCATATTTATAAAAGTTGTAGCGTGAGATCTGAGCTTTGATCCAGCTTTTAATTTTGACAAGAGTTAAAAGCTCATCCGGCATCGAGATTTGAACTCATTATCATCGGTTTATCACTCTACAATACTAACAGGTCTGTCAATAAGTAAACAATACGGATTGAATAGTGATTTGGAATATTGAACAATCACCAGCGCATACATTTCTCTATCTAGCACATGCTAGATGATATGAAATTAATATACTGTTATGGATATTCCACTTCGGAAGTCTTCTGGATTCTTGTAGTAAACGCAAATACATATAGCTCGTTTCACTAAACATTTCTCTTACACCGGAAGCATTAACCGAATCGGTCTGCACTATTGCATATTGGAGGCAAACCAAGCCTGGCAGTTTTGAATGTTGGGCAAATAAATTAGGGAGCGTCGTGAATGGGCCATGGGAACAGAAGGAAAGTTCGGAGGCAAGTTGGGGATTACTAAGTTCGCCTATTGTCGTATAGATAGCAAGTTAGACTATTTCGGAAACCTCTGAAATTACTTCGTTACTTGAGGAATCCTCCATGCTCAGTCTAATCCATTATCAGTACCGCCTCAGATCCGCACTATCCCAATCTATTAATCAATGAAGGATTTCCCAATCATAATGGATTCTAAATATCGATATTACTTCTGCAACCTGAGACAGAGATGGCTCATTTTGGTTGATAAATCATTCCATTTTCTTCAAATTTAACTATGGAATGTCTATATTTACTATGTTCAACTTTCAACATGCTATCTATTCTGACGCATTCTTATTAACTTTTGGGATTTTTTCAATATGAGCCCCTATTTCCAAAGACAACCCTAATCGATTTTTTTTTTTTGGATATTGAGTTAAATATCTATCTATATGTAAAAACTCCCCGATACTGAAAATAATATATTTTTTTTTCTATAAGTAACATACATATTAAAAAAAGATAATATCGATTTGAAATTTTTACATCGAGTACCGATTTATTTTAACCTTTTGGATTCCTGCGATATTAAGGTTCCTCATGGGGTATTTGAAAATACTATAAATTATAATTTATAACAATCTCTCACGACAGAACCAAACGGGTCGCGGTTAAAAAGGTTTTTCCATTTTTCAATGTAATAATTATAATATTGTGTAATCGTTTTTCGATTTATCATAACTTTTTGGATTTCTTCGATTTTAGACTTTCGTTATTACTCTCCAATTACCTAACTCTCCAGCTTCACCCAACGTTTAGCATTATGCGTATGGCACGTTAATTTATGAACTTTATTAGTTATTTGGCAATAATAACTTCCAATTAGTAACAATTTAGTATATTTCTATTATCAACGTTTCATGTTAACAAGTTACGTTGATAATAGAAATATACTCAATTGTTACCAACTGGAAGTTATTATTGCCAAATAACTAAAAAAAATAAACAA